AGCTTGGTTGGTGGGGATGCTGGAGGGGTCGAGGGGGCTCACGCCAGTGCCTCGCTGGGACCCCCCCACACCCCAGGCACAACACTACAATGAGGAGGAACTGCCGGCCATTAGGACCCCGCGGATGACACGGCAACTTCAACACAGGGGTCAAGGATGCTGTGGACACAGGCCAGGCATTCAGCCTTCATGTGCAACATTGTAAGTTCCCTAACACCCCCCACCCCACCCCGCCCCAAGGAGAGGAGCTGGGCAGGGAGGTGAAGCTGGAAAGGGGGCTAGAAAAGGAATGAAAGACAGCAGGGGAAATGGAGAGAGGTGGGAGAGGAAGAAGACCCGGGTGGCGCGTGGAGCAGAGACACGTGAGGGAGAGGCTGGCTCACCCTCGGCCCTGGACTTGTGCAGGACTTGGGACGAGGAAGGAGACACTAGAAACATGTGAGGACCCGAGGCGAGGCTGACAATGGCTGCCTTTAGCTCGATGTTGACTTGCTCTTTTCCTAACAGACTTGCCTGGTCCTTCTGCCCCTGCCCTGGGATCCCCTTCCAGAAGGTGCCTCAGGCTTGTGGCAAGGTTTTGGGCTTCAGCGGCACTGCTTCGGGTCAACCCTCTGTGCCTGGGTATTTGCCCAAGAGGGTTTGGGTAACTTTGGGTGATTTGGAAGCTTTGTTCTTGCTTTCTCTGGTCTCTACTGCACACCAATTATTACACACTAATTGTGCTATAGTTCTCTTCTATTGTAGGTCTTACACACTTGAGTGTGTTTTGTCTTGAGGCAGCGGGTGGCAGAACCCATTTAAAGCAGACAGGTGTGGGGGTCTTGGGGTGCCCCTCATTCTGCCTGTAGCACACGGGCTCTGCTTTTGGAGACAGGCAGCTGTCTAGCTGCCCAGTCACTGGGACTTCTCAGATGAAGAAGACTCTTTCAAGCCTTATCTTGTGTTGACTTTGCTTTTATGGAAGCCTGGCTCCCGTGCGGGCTGCCTTCTTCACAACAGAGGCACGCGCTCCCCATGTGGTCTGTGGGCAGCAAACAAACAATTCATCGGACCGAAAATGCTTTAGGAAACAGGAGGGACTTTCAATCGGTAAGCCCGTGTTTACTCTTCCCATCAAGCGCCTGCGGGTGCAGTCAAACAGAGTGATGCAAGAGGCAGGAAACAGCACGCACCTGGCCTGTGGAGGGGGTGGGGGGGCCAAGGTGCAATCGCGACCCAGAGGTTTCAGGGCAGGGCTGCAGCCAGGCGAGCCAGGGAGCAGGTTCGGCACACCCCACAGGGGGGACAGGACGGCCGTCAAGAAGGCGCCGCTTTTTGTCTGCTTCAGTCGCTTCAAAGTGTCACAGACAAACATGCATGAAGAGGACACTGCCCGGTTCCAGAGACACAGCAGGAACAAGACGCAGAGGCGGCCAGGGCTGACCCCTGCCCAGAGGCTGGTCTGCACTGGCTGGCAGGGGGCTGTCCTCAGCCGACCCGGGGGTCTTCTGGACATTTCCACGGGTCCCCAGGCAGAAAGGGCCCAGGACTGTCCAAGAAGGCTCGGGCCACCAGCAGGGGGGAAGGACTGGGACAGGCAGCTAGCCGGGCAGTGGAAGCCCAGCCTCTGCTCCAGGCTGACCACAGGAGGGCCTCCGGGCACCCCGCGGTGCCACCCTCAGGGAAAACAGACCTGGGACAAACATCTGCAGAGGCTGCTTGGCTCCTGAGGGCCCGGCTGCCTAGAATCCTTTCGACCTGAGATTTGCTATAGGAGACCACAGAAGAGAAGCGTGGGGAGGGGCAGATAAGACAGAAAGTGAAGGCCTGTTTGATAAGAGCTAGAGGTGGAGCTGGGGACATGCAGGGAGTCCCTTAATTATGCCCTCTGTGTCGAGCTGCCATTTCCCATAATAGGAAAGGTTAAAGATGAAAACATTTGGAAAGCCTGCAAAAGAAAGGCCTAACGCCATCTCAAAACATGCAACGGACGCCCCAGGTGGGAAAGGTGGTTCTTGTTGCTTCAAGTGTGAGAACTGCTATCAGGCAAGATCATTAAAAAGAAAAACTGAAATCCAGTCACAAACAAAGAAAACAGCAGCCTAGCTACAAGGCGCTCCATAAACAGGGCCACAAAGCAAGCCACTCTGCCCGCGCGGAGACCGGTAAGGAGAAAAGCCACCTCACAACGCT